TTATAATGTATTTGAGCGGAGTCGGTTCGGAGCAGTCCCACGCGCATGGAAAAGAGAAGTAAGGTATATAATAAATTGCGATAGCATCAGAATTCAAGGAGTTATGATCCAAAAACTAGTTGAATTTTTGTCTTGAAATTCAGAGCAGAAATATTAGTGCGTGGCTGTGCAACCAGAGTCATCTACAGTGGTGCCCCGCCTTGCGAGCTTAACGCGTTATTAATACGTTCTTCGTATCCAGAAGCAATTTTTCCAATGCAATAATGTACATTGAAATGCCAATAATTCATTCCACAGTGTAACTGGAAATTGAAAAATAACTAGTGGTGTATGGCATCGTGCCTTGATGCAAATTGCTGGAACTTCCCGTAATGAAAATAGAGATTTTTAAAACCTTTAAAATTTTTGAAAACTTTTAAAAATTGATATTTTTTGAAACAATTTAAATTTTTTTATAACTTGAATTTTTCTAAAAATTCTGATCTTTATTTCAAAGCAATCATGCTGCATGGCTGTTTTAGAGAAGAAATGCCATGGCAACGGTTACCATGGCAACCGTGGCCATGGAAACAAAAATCGCAAAATAATTTTACTGAAAATTTTATCTTAGCGACGGTTACCACGGTAACGAAAATCGCAGAATAATTTTACTGAAAATGTCAAGCTAGCAACGGTTGCCATGATGAGACGACCCAATCAGATTCTGCTCCAACGGATTTCGAGGCATGGTTGCAAACGGGAGTCCTGACAGAAGTAATTGATTGCTCATTTGAACAAAATGAAACCCAACAAAAATTTGAGTTTCATTTATCCTGAGATGACACTCAGGATATTTTTCCGCACTTGGAACTCCAACAATATTTTTAAATTTAAATAATGATTTCTTACACAAATCAAATGCATCTATTATAACTTGCTTTTTACAAGAAAATGAATATTCTTCATCACTGGATGTTTTAATTATATTAGCCATTTTAATTTTCAAATATATCATAACCGAACGCTAAAGAGAACAAAATCATACTACATTATTTTTCAGTTTATTATAAAAGTTATTCGATATCCGATATCTGGAATAAGATGTTAGAAAGCTTTATTCTGACTAAAAACTAACATTTCTAACGTAGAAATTGTTTATACCTATTTCAAACACCCCAGCGTTGGGGCATTAACAAGTACTGATACGAGTATTCAGGAACAAGTTTAAAATATCTTATGAAATATGTATAAACAAATGAATAATTATAAATATGTATCATTTATAAAAAAAAGTTTTATTTTATTTTATCATTATACAATGCAAATATATTTATTTTCAGAATGCTTTCATAAATATCTACTCTTTATAAATTATAAATTACACATATTTGTGTAGTATATGGAACAAATTAATAATTATTATTATAATATTTAACCAAATAGATGTAAAAATAAATTTAAAAAAAATAACTCTGGCGGGATTCGAACAAAAAGTTGAGAGTAACACCGCTAAACACTCGGCTATCTAGACACAAAGATACGCAGCCAAACGCTCGTAGATATAGCGTTTAGCGCGTTTTTCGCAACTTTAATTAATTTTTACAATTAAACCGCTTCTCATAGGACTCTAATATTTAAATGTGTTTGGTTTGACAATCAACTCTATAACCATGCAAAGTTTCATCAAAATCCCAGAAGAGTAAATCTGATGGTTACCTTGTAAGCAAATGAGCCGCTTCTTTGGCGGTTCGTATCTCTGAAAACTCATATGACGAGTCGCTTGTAAGGCGGGGTACCACTGTATACATATGCGTTTAAACTATTTTTCCTCAAGGGGTGGTAATTTTTAAAGTTTAAACAATTGTTGATATGAGGTATACAATCATGGGTGAGATGGTGAACAGGAATATATAATTATTAAAAACAAACAATTCACATTTTTGATAACATGCTTTATATTTTTACAAAATCGAAAATTGTCTTACATTATTAACTTTTAATAATAATTAATTATAATAATTCTAACACATCTCAGAAACTATCCTAACCACCAAGATCTTGTATTTCATACATGTACAATAAGAACAATATTACGCATAATTAAGAATACAACATATAATGTTAAAGCTATATATTTTCACATTTAGGTGGTACTTTGAAACATCTATCATTTTGTGAAATCCTTCTCACAGTATACTGGATTAACGAGCGTAACCGTATCTATAATTTTATTATATACAATATAAATGTAATATATATATTACATATGAATACATAAATTGAATTATATATAAAAAATATAATTATCACTCTTTCCAAAGTTTTCAAACTCTATTCACTCGCGCCGATAAGAAGCCGTTTGCAGCGAAGGATTTCACTTCAGAATAATTAGGAAAAATATGGAATCATGGTAAATGATTTCCCTGAACAAAATACTGGTAAATGATATTTGGGCTTTAATATAGAAGCGTTTTAAAAATATTTAATACAATAATGTTCAATGCAATACAAGTAACAGAGAAAGCTCACAAAGATAAATTTTTAATACATACATTTTAACTAATATTATTGATAAAAAGTAAAAAATCCTTTTTATGTAGATTTAACCTCATCTTGCCAGTTTATATCCTTAGTAGATACGCCGTAGAATGTAAATACGTTATATTGGCTGTTATATTGGGTGTATTTACTAATTTGTAATCAATATTATTTTGTAAAATATATCTTGGCAGTCTCTGTTTAAAACTTTTGAATAAACATATTGCAGAATAAAGTTAAATAATAAAAAATAAAAAAAAATCTTGCTAGTTTATCAATATCTAATATGATAATATTCAAAGTTCTAATGCAACTTTTGACTTAATCCTGACACCGCAGAAACAATGCAGTAAAAGAAATTTTAAAATATTAGTTTTTCATTAAAATCTATAAAAAATTCTTATGAAAATTTCTACCATTTAAATGAGGAAGATGACTTTAAGAAACAAAACTAAATAAGCCCGGCTATTTCAGTTTAAATACGGCAAAATATTTACGAGTTATTAAAAGTTCATGTAGACGTACATTTTTCCCTAATTACGCCAACTTTGAGGTTGTCTTTACTTCTGGACAGTAGATATCTTTTTACCAAAATTCATATTGAAATATTTCTAGAGAGCTTTTAGCATAACACTTCATCGATATATTAACATAAATCTTTTTTTAAAAGTTATTAAATGTATAACAAAAATTTTATACTGATAACAACAAGATTAATAAAATTTTTGGATAGTCATTACTGGACAGTACACTCATGTTACTAAAATATTATTGCGTATTATACAAATTAAATGGTTAAACGCAGGATGACAAAATATAAAAAACAGCATAATGAAAGGATTTTCCAGAATACACAGATAGCGTTCAAAATTAATAAAGTGCAGTGTCCAGTAAGACCAAATTAGGCATTTAACGAAAATATTTAAAATCAATATTCATTGTTTAATTATCTATTAATTTTTATTTCGAGTTGAATATATATATATATATATATATATATATACTTAAATATAATATCTATTCACTACATCTAGCCAATTTCAGATCTGGATAAAAAATTGTTCCCAGTTAAATATCATCTATCCCTACATTAATATTTTTTTTACAAATTAAATCTAATAATAAACAAGCTAATAGAATATTTTATCACACAATTTTAATAAATGTCAAATACTTTCTGTTCGAGTGAAAAAAAACATTTATTCTAATTATTATTTATATGTAAAATAAATTTTATTAAATATTTCTACGTGAGGAATTTGTTTTTAATTACATAGCATATAAAATAATCAGTTCTCACAATTTAGGGCAGTATTGATTTAAAACAATACTAACAATGCAACAAGCTATTATAGAAGTGCCAAAGAAATGCGCCGATTTTTGTGAAGTTTTTAAACTATATACAATATACAATTTCAAAACATTTAATTATAAAATCTTTTTATCTAAACTTGACCCAATTTCACAATCAAATTTAATCTACTTAATTAGTTTACAAATTTAAAACTATGTTGTGTATTCAAATTATTTCTTTTGATAACATTTATATGCACTATTGCATATATATATATTAGGGTAGTCCTTAAAATGGTCATTTTCGAATTTCCTTGCTCCCAGGGGCTCAAATGGTTCCAAATAGATAAAAAACAATTATCTAAAAGTTTTAGCACTTAATATTAACGTTTAGATAAAGCGCAATTCAATCAAAGTTTGTATGGGAAGAGCATGGAAAAAAATTTGCAAATTAAAAAAAAATATTTTAGGTATAACTTAGCGACAAATGAATGAGTTTTATTCATTCATTTGTTCGCTAAATTACATCTAAAAAACATTTTTTAAATTTTTGAAAAATTTTCCATGCTATTTCCATACAAAACTTTGATTGAATTGCGCTCTATCTAAACGATAATATTAAGAGTTAATTCTTTCAGAGAATTGTTTTTTATCTATTTGGAACCATTTGAGCCCCTGGGAGCAAGAAAATTCGAAAATGACCATTTTAAGGACCACCCTAATATATATATATATATATATATATATATATATATATATCTTATATACAATTCATCGAATAATATTTTGCAAAGTTAATAAAATGTTGTCTACGACTTTATACGAAAATTGTTATTGGCACACATCAGAGCAAAGTTCAAAACTTCATTTAATCAAGTTATTTTTTCTAATTTAAAATCGAATACAATAATTAAAACAAATAAATCAAAGAACTAAAAAACATTTTTGCGCAATTCCCCATGGTATTAAAAAATGGAATAACCAATTAATTGTATCACCAAACATAGTTTTTAACATAATATCAAGTTTTGGCAATATCATAATTATTTGTTTCACGATAGATATGATCAAATGAATATTTGAAATAGAAATCAAATGTTTTTTGCGTGATCTTATTTGAAATACTTGCAAATAATATAAAACATCAATAAAATAAGAATATACATTCTTAAAAAAATTATAGAGTCCGGTTTCATTCTTAATATGCAAATATACGATGCTATTTATACATAATAAAATAAAGTATATATTTTTTAAATATAAAAACTCTATCAAATATTGAAAATAACATACAAAACTAACCTTTCATTAAACGTGAATCTTCAATGTCTTTATCACGTAGATTAGTGTTTTCTGAATGATCATTTTTGCAACCATTTGGTATCCTTTGCAGATCAATAAGGTTTACTAAAATGTAATATATTTTAAGATTTAGAAGCTACTAGAGATTAGAACTAAAACTAACTAATTCAGATAAAGGAAGAGCAAAAGAAATTATCATTCAAAATATGTACATCATACAAAATATGTACTTTGAAAAGAGTTGGAATCGTAGTCATCTTAATATACCAATCTGATTTATTATGACACCTAACATAGGAATGACTAGAAACTATTGCTGCATGGCATCGTGCCTTAAAACAAATTACTGGAACTTCCCGTAACGTAATTTATAATTTCTAAAAGTTAAAAAAAAAACAGACCGAACGTGTCAAAACCCATGGAAATGTGAACAAAATTAGTATTCATTACTAAAATTTGTATAACATATCTCATATTTTGATGAGCATATGCCTAATGATCATTATCGAAAGCCAAATTGCATTTTGTTTTCAATTTTTTTAACTTCCCGTAGGGCAAGTTATAGTGATCGCAAAAAAATCGAAAATGAAAATTTTTATATATCTTTACGTGTCAAAGGTTTCTGAAAAAATGGATATATGTGTGTGTGTGTGTGTGTATGTACGTGTGTGTATGTATGTGCGGATACAAATTTTCGTCGACGATTTCGGGAACACGGATCAACCGATTTGAATAATTCAAAAAACATTCGATTCGTATTGATAAGGAGACGTGCTGATTAGTTTATGGCAAAGGCAGGTCTAGCCGTTCCGAAGATACGGGGCAAAAAGTGACGAAAACGGTAGATCAGTTTTTAAGAGAACGGGGCGTCCGATTTGAATTCAAAAAACATTTTACTTGTATTGACAAGATGAAGAATTGATCAAATATTCATGGAGGCAGATCCAGCGGTTTCGGAGATCTAATAATAAAAGTAAAAAAAATGCCATTTGGCGGTCAAAAATGATCATTAGACATATGCACATCAAATTATCAGATATTTTATAGAGATTTTAACAATAAGTATAACATTTTTTTACATTTCTATGGGTTCCGTACCAATGCTTATCCGTTAGACGGCGGCGCGGCACTTGCGCGCTTTGACATTTCGTCTCTATGCAAGTTCAGAATTTCCAAAATATGTCAAAATGAAGAAAACATTTTTCTTTTCAAAAAAATTTTGTTTCCAAAAAAAAAAATTTTTTTTCAAAAAAAGTAATTTTTTGTCAAATTTATAGTTTCTCAAAAATCTAATTTTTTCGAAGTAAAATTTTTTCAAAAATGTTAATCCGTCCCCCCGTCAATATAAATGCACATTAATTTTTTCTAATCGTAAGAAATCCCAAAATATTCAGAAGTTTTTAAAAAGTAAAGATATGCAAAAATGTATATTACCTCACAGTCAATCCTGATTAGCTCTAGCTCTTTGCAGTCGTTCGGGATGATTCCAAGCCATTTGAGTAAAATCTCTAACTACATCATTGAATGTATCATCTCCTGGTGCATGCTCAGTGGCTCTTATTTCTTCGTTCAAACGAGCTAATCGTAATCTGAAAATAATATATTTTTTAAAGAAATATGTATCAACATTATATGTAGTTCTTCATAGTTTACAAGATATTCATTTCTTAATTTATATAATTTATCCTGCCATTTGTATTTATTGGTATCCTTTAACGCGGTACGAATTCTAAGAATGACACTGTTCCTATACAACACGATAAACAGCTTCCATATAACGCGCTACAATTTAGCCTAATTTGAATGTTAAATCCGAGTTTCTCATAGCGCGGTTTTAATATCGCGCGGTACACACTCACCGCGTTATAAAAGCGTAGACTGTATACATATATTCATATTAACAAATAATAATTGATAGAATACAGTATCCTACTTACAGAGTAACTATATCAGCATTAGCCTGGTTGACAGCAATATCGATCGGCTCCCGTCCTTCCGTATCTTTAAGATCATGTTTAGCTCGATGTTTTAGCAGCAGACACACTTGAGCGGTATGCCCTAATCTGGTGGCCAAATGAAGTGGAGTGGAACCAGCTGCATCCGCCTGATTTAATCGGGCGCCATTCAAGAAAAGAAATTCGCAAGCCATCACGGAACCCTTTATCAGAAAAAATTGAATAACGATTAAGGCATATTTTGCATGCTCATACAACGTCAAAATTTTTATTAACACTTAAGTGTCTCAAAGCGCATTGCTGGAACTTCCCGTATAGTTATTAAATATTTAAAGAATAAAAATCCATAATCAATAATCAACAAAAATGATAAACGATTAACAACAATTGTTTTAAATATTTTCAAATATATTATCATAAACATTGTAAATTGCTTACAAGAAATTTAAACCTAATCGAGTCCAGATAAAATGAAGGCATCCGAAGATCATAAATAAAAATTATGATAAAATTTTATTTTTTAGAATTGTCTTTTCGTTTCAGCATCATTTTGTAAAAAAACTGAAAAAAAAAGATTTTTTTAAAATTTTGGGAAAATTCGGTTTTGAATTTTTGATAATTTTTAATTTTTTTGAAAATTCCGGGATTTTTTTATAAAACAGCTGGACCTGCTTTTCTAAAAATTTAATCGAACCCTCAAAAGCTTAATTATCATTTTTGCCTCGTTGTCTCAAACAAAATCGTGTACGAGAAATTGTACCCTTACATACATACACTTATACACCCATACATAAATTTTTTCTAAGGTATGCCAAGATGTACAGGAGTTCTTGAAATGTAAAGATATGCAGAAAATTTTATTTTAGAATTTTATTTATTAACTTCCCGAAGGAGAAGTTGTTTTCATCAAAAAATCCGATTCGCTAATTTTATGTTTTCTCGACGTTTCAAGCCATTCTGAATCGAATGAGACCAAATTTGGAAAAAGTATGTGTGTGTGTGTGTGTGTGTGTGCGCGCGTGTGCACCAACAGATTTTTGCCGTGAATCGTCGTTTTCTCAAAAACGGCTGGACCGTTTACAAAAAATTAAAAGCCATTCGATGTATCTCGATGAGGACTATTGCTTGTCAGTTTTGTGCGACGATCGACCAAACCGTTTCTTCGTAAATAGCAGAGAAGTGAAAAGTCTTTCGTGCACGTTTTAGCCCGCAGTTATGAATCGATTTTGAAAATTCAAAAATCGTTCGAAAGATATTGGTTGGGAATCGTGCTGATTAGTTTTTGGTAGAGATCGGCCGGGCCGTTTTCTTGTAATAAAGTTTAAAAAAAAAAAAATTCGACGATTTTTATGATTATTTTTTTGGCGGTAGATACCATAGTCTTCTATATCATACTAAAATATTACGGCCCTACGACAACTGGTTCAGCTTTAAAAATTCGTTAAAGTTTGCAAAAATTGGTATTGTTTTTTTTTGGCATTTGTCAAAGTTAGACCTTTGATCGACGTTTTCTCAAAAACGCCTGAGCCGATTTTAGAAATTTAAAAGCTATTTGATGTATTTCGGTGAGGACTATCGTTTGTCAATTTTGTGTGACGATCTGCCAAGCCGTTTCTTTGCAATTTGAAAAAAAGTGTTAAACTTTTCGTCCACATTTAAGCTCATCCTACTGAACCGATTTTAAAAAATCAAAAACTGTTCGAAAGATATTAGTTGGGAATGATACTGATTAGTTTTAGGTGAAAATCTACCGAGTCGTTTTCTTGTAATTAACTGTTGAAAAAAAGTGTTAAATTTGCGTCCACATTTAAGCTCATCCTACCGAACCTATTTTAAAAAATCAAAAACTGTTCGAAAGATATTAGTTGGGACTGGTACTGATTAATTTTAGGTGAAAATCTACCGAGCCGTTTTCTTGTAATTAACTGTTGAAAAAAAATTTAAGACTATTTTCATGGAACTTTTTTTGGCGATATACATCATGGTCTTATAGAACTTACTGTAATATTACGGCCTTACGACAAGTAGTTTAATTTCAAAAATTCGTCAAACTTTGCTAAAATTATTATCGTTTTTTTTTAAAGTAGGATTGATGAAGTATATTATTTACACTTTTTTTTTTGATTAAGTCGATTATTTACACATATCGGGAAGTTCATGTAACTTGCCTCAAGGCTAAATACCAAACCAACTAGTTTAACTTATTCCATGGGAAGTTAAAAAGTTGAAACTAAAATCCTTCCGATGAAATGACAAAGAATAAACAAAACAAGCGCAATAATTAGGTACTATTTAAATTCTTTAGTGTAAACGCTTCAACTTTTACTAAATTGATTTATTGATTTATTGATGATACTCAATGGTCAATAAAATAACTTGTCCCCAGTTTAATATCATTTTCTTAAAATCTATAATTTTTCAATTGAACGCATCCATATCTTCCGATCACATTGAATTGTAAATACAATAAACTTCTTTTTAAAAATTATCAATAATAATCATTACCGAGAGTACTGCTTGATGTAAAGGCGTACTATTATCACATTCTTCATTTGCCCAAGTCTTTTCAGCACCTAGAGCTAATGCACTGCACATAACAGGAAGGTTGTGAGCACCAGCCGCTCGAAACAATAACATATTTGGATTTAAATTGCTTATATCATCTTCTTCTAAAATAATTAAAACGTATTCTTATTAACGTCTTAAATATATAAATGATTAATCGTTATATAAAAAATAGATGAAGCATATTTCACTAACCTGCTATGCCGTCACTTTCTCCGCCAGTAGAATCTTGATCACTACTCAATTCTAGCGGAGTTTTTAATTCTGGTACGTCGTCTCCTATAAGTAACATCTCGGGATCCGCTAATACTTCAGCAATGAATAATATTTAATTAATAAACTAACTTTAATTAAATCAAATCATAAATATATTTCTCACTTACAAGCTGTTTGTTTTATTGTTTCATTGTCGTCCGAGCTTTCATCAGTTGCAGCTTCCGTCAAAGCTGATAATACTTTATTGTTAGGTTTTGCTTGTAAAACGTTTTCTTTGCTGCAACAAATTGATTTTTTTCATACGATTTTTTTTTGAATCATTCAAGTCAGTTGATGTAAAGGACTTTTGTTTGAACCATATAAGCGAACTTTAAAAATTAAAAATTTTAGTACAAAATCCAAAAAAAATATAATTAATAAATATTAAATAAATATACTTTGGGTAGAGTAAGATATTGAAATAATCGATTTTATAACCATGGTAAGAAAGCAAGCAACGATAAGCAGTATATTTAGTAATAAATTTCTTTATATAATATTTTGAGAACATAGCACTAATGCTAAAGACATTTGAACATAGATATTCTGCAGTATTCCAAAAATTTAATAAAATAGATAGTTTTTATAGATCATTCCTCAGAGTGACAACATATAAAAATACAGAAATGCTTCATTGGGTAAAAATTGAATCAGATTATATTTTCAGGTGTGTTGAAAATTCAGTAAAGCAACAATATTAATAGAAGTAATCAGGTAAATATGAATTAAACAATAGATAATTATCATCAATCCTTAATACAAAAAAATACCATCCATAATTTTAGAATCCTTTCCAAAATACTTATATATATGATATATATATATATATATATATATATATATATATGTATAATGTGTACATATATAGCGATAAAATAGTGTTTTGGAAATAAATAACTGATTCAATTTATAGTCAGGAATTGATCGACTCCTGAAATCAATGCCAAAAGTAGAATGAATGATATTATTCAAACCCCGAATTGATAAATCGATACGTAATTATTCTATTAAATTCATTTTACCTGCGAGGCCTTCTTCTCAACCTCCTAACACTCCATTTTCTAACACCTACTTCTGTAATTTGACTTTTCTTATTGTCATTCGCCATAGAATTGTCAGGATTGTCTTTCATTTCATTCGATGTCAAATTGTTACAACTAGGTAATAAATTAACAAAACGCCTCTCAACGTATTTTGCTTTTATCCAAGCTTCTCTTATATTTCTGAAATTAATTTTCTTCTGTGAATACTTCTTATAGCATAAATGAAATGAAAGTATATTTAATTATATATAATACCCTTGGCAATTTGGTGTAGCTTTTGTAATATCCGAAACATTTGCTTCATATATCTGTAATAATATATTATTCATATTATCTATCCACCCGAAAAACTATATTTACAGATAAATCTATTTTCTTAAATGTAGTAGATCTATAGTACCTTTAGAAAAGCATAAGCATAATATTTATAGCAATTTTATTGAATGCCCTTTAAGAATATGGGTTTAATTTTCTACTTCTATTTACTAAATATCTCTACCAAATTAATGAAATTTTAACCAAAGTTATAGTTCGGTTTATTTTGAATAAAAAAAAAAAATTAAGTTAAACATAGCAAAAAATCTTCTTTTATCTTTGAAAAGCTCAATATTCAATATTAGGGAATTTAATTGAATGTTCAGAAAGTTACTACAGACAAATATTATAAAAAGAAATGATGTTTTGACAACTAAACTAAATTGAAATTTAAATCTAGTATATTCATACCCTATTAACTATATTATTTCCAAGTTCAGCCATAACTTTGACGATTTCGGGTTCCCAATCATCCAAAGTTAATGATCTCACTTTGCTGTAATGTACACCTAGACTTCTATGTACACCTGAACATGCTATTTTTATAAAAAGCAAGAAAATAAAAATCAAAAGATTAGCAAAAATTATTATTATAGTTCTAAGGAAATTAAACTATGGGCTTTTTTATAAAAGATAAAATACTAATTTGATGCTAGAAAGATTATTTCTATTTTATAATTAAAAATAAATTGTTAAACTATGAGATTGACATTTCTTCTAGACAGTCATAATAGATATTATTAAAATTATTGTTACAAAATTAGTTTATACTTACCAATACATAAAGTAATTCCCAAGTTGATGCTGGCCCATTTTGGATCAGGATTACCACAGTCGCAACAAGAGTTATTACCAGGAATAGTTAATAATTGCTCCCACATTCTGATGATAAATTTTTGTAAGATACTACGATTAGAAAATAAACTAATGGCCACAAAGCAATTGAACCATGCATATAAGAACAGAGAGAAAATATATTGATTAATTACTATGTAAGACTAATTTTGATCATTATTATTATGACAACTCTTTCTTAACAAATTATAAAGTATTATTTGAAAAAAATATATATAACTGTTTATAAAATAATATTTCACATAAATATATTATAAATGATTTAATTTTTAATTGAAAATTTAGATTTATTAATGGCGAGAAAACAAACCTTGAACGTTTATGTGGGCTATCAGATCTATCACTGTTTCCACTAATTATATTTCCACTTATACTGCTGAAAGCACTATTTTGGTTCAAATTGTTCATATTAACGCCAGCGTTATTACTAATTTGTAAATGGGAATGATTTCTTTGCAAAGCCGCCCCGATCGCTTGCTGCAATGCTGAAATCCATGCATTTAAAGACTCCTCCGAATCGGCTTGCAGCATGTGACTTCTATTAATTAAAAAAAAAAAAAAAAGATTAAATTTGGAGGTGACAATACAAACAAAAAAGCTAAAGAAATAAACGAAATAATTATTCTAGAGTTGTGTTAAGTTATTGAAAAAGGAAAATTCTTATTTTTTATATTTTCTTTGTAACAGCTTTCAATTATTTTGAAATATCTTATAGATAATTAAACAAAAATCATGTTTTTCTATGCAGCATTTATGTATACCACTAACGCGCGCTGAGAATATAGGTATTACAAAATTTTCAAGATTTTTTTTTAAATAAAATTAAAACAAAGAAATCAACTTCGCTCAAGAAAAAATCAATTCAATAATATATAAAACATTTTTGAAAAAAAAAGATTTGTCAAAGTTTTTAATGCAATTCATTTTTTTATTAAAAATATTCATTTCAACAGTCATTGTTATGAACAGTAAAAAAAAAATAGATTTTTTCTTTTTCTTCATATCATTTTGACCCATTATTCGGAAATAAATCTACTGTTATATATTCTTTATAACTTACTTTGTGGGTGATAAAACTTCAAAACAAAAACGTCTTTCCCCTTCTATAACAGGCTTAATTGAACATAGTCTAAGATCATCTTCCATCACAGTGCCAGTTTCTTCACCAGTTCTTTTCCTTAAAAATTCATAGAATGATTTATTAAGTTACTACATAAACTGAAGTGTCATCAAAAAGTAAAAATAAAGTAAATAAAATTTGTACAATAAGTTTGTACAAGTATAAATTGTGTTTGTATTTTACACACCTATACACTAATTGGTTATCACACAAATAAAACCACCTCCTATTCCACGTTTTGAAAGCATTTGAGGTTCTTTTAAATAAATAGCCTTCCATAACAAATTCACTATCCTTTTTAGATTGAACTGTATCTAAATTGGTTACGACATTATGTCGCTCCTCCATTTTCTTTTCAAGTTTAGAAGTTTCTGTACGCATAGCACCGATCTGAAAATGAGTTTTGAGCTAGGTAAGATAATTATAAAGAATTTAATAAATAACTATTATTACAAATAATATTTTCTCTTACATCTTCCGCTAAAGTTTTGAAGAATGGATCAAGGTCTTGACATAAATCAGATCCTTGATGATAGTATGTACAGCAGGCATGCATAAAGGATAATAGCTGCAAAAAATGTTTAACAAGTAAAAGTTAACATTAATCAATAAAAACGTTAATCAAATCAATCAATAAATCCGTTAAAAAATAAAATATTATCTCATTATTCACAAATAATATAGTTCATTTATTTATAAATATTGTCTATTTCACATACATTGATTCAATAGAATAATTATGACTAGCTTTGATCAAATCGATGTTCCTCATATCAAAATATTTCAAACAGAATGTTTATAAATAACTTGCATAACGATATAGATAAGCTTTATAAACAAATATATAAAATATATACAATAAGAAAAATCTGCGTAATACAATTCAAGGAATTAATAGTTTTGAAAGAATACGTTTTGAAAACTTTGTACATACAATGATTAATTTATTTCATATTTTCAATTCTATAGTAGAACGTTCACAAATTGAATACATACTGAACATTTTTGGAGAGAAAAATTAAATAAAAACTAGTGGTGTATGGCATCGTGCCATGCAAATTGCTGGAATGCCCAGTACCTTAATGAAATATTCGAAGAATATTGAATGTTTTCAAATAGATTGTTATAAATACTGTAAATTTCATTATTCATATTTTAGAGACAAAATTAAAAGGGCTTATAAATTGGACGAGTTTCATATAAGTTCACATAAAAAGTAAATAAACAAAAATATTCAAATAAACGATATTCAAAAAAATATTTTTTCAAAATTAAAAAAAAAATACAATTTTTTTTTGCTTTTTCGAAAAATAATCGTTTCGTCAAACATGCGAACGGTTTTTTGAATAATTCAAATCAGATGCCTCGTTCTCTCAAAAACTTCCATATTTTGCACAATTAGCTCCGTGTCTCTAAAACGACTAGATCTGTCTTTGCCAAAAACTAATCACCAAATCTCCCCATCATTACGAATTGAATGTTTTTTTTAATCATTCAAATCGGATTCTCCCATACTCTCAAAAACTGAATTACTATTTTCTGCACTCTTTGCTTCGTATATCCGAAACGGCTAAACCGACCGTTCCCAAAAACTAATCAGAATCTCTTCCTATCAATAGGAATCAATTGCTTTTTGAATCATTCAAATCGGTTGATCCGTACGCCCGAAATCATGGACGAAACATTGTATCCACACATACACACACACACAAATACATTTTTTCTGAGGTATACCAAAATGTTTAGAAACCTCTGAAACGTAAAGATGTTCAAAACTTTTCAATTTAAATTTTTGGATAATTACAATATCTTTCCCTAAGGAAGTTGATAAATTAATTTCAAAAAATGACGTTGAAATAGTTGAAGAGATTAACGTTTAAAATTTATTTATACATACATAATTTTATTTTAATTTTTATTTAAAAAAATGACATTTCGATTCATGCAATAATTTAATATTTTCTTAAAAATTGCAAGATATCGATTTTTGTTATCCTTTTGGTTATAAAATCAAAATTCAATCATATGAATAAATAACTTACTGTAGCTAAGATTTCATGACCCTTCCTTGCTTGCAGCATAGTTAAACTATGTACATAATCTAATGCGGAATGTCTAAAACATTTTCTCTGTGCAGATAAAAAATTTAAGGCCTCATCTGCTTCAAGTGGTTTATTTTTTGATACCTTAAATTAAAAAAAAAATAGTATAAAATATATAGTAAACATAATTGAAATTTTATATTTATACTTACTTGTGAATTTCGAAGTAACGCAGAATCAAGTTCCGTTGAAACCTTCTCAAAGTGATGCTTGCTATCCTTAACAGACTTAATATCACTGAAATATGTAATACGTCCAGAATTACATTATTTGAATATATTTAATTTTTATAATACTACCTTTTAATAAAAGATGTCAAATTTTTCAATACTGTTCTACTAGCTTGGTCCAGTAATATGGTATGGAATTTATTCATTTCCTATTTGAAATATTATAATAACAAAGATTAGTAGTTCGAACGATTCAAATTATATAATATTTATATATTGAAATATTATTGATAAATAACTATCTACATTGCCGCACCTGTAAAGCATGAGTCAATTTATTTAATGATGACACAGTTGACGGTTGCTCCTTAAAGTGTTGAGATAATTCAAAAAGTGAATTTGCGAACAAGCTGAAATAAATGTATTTTATAAATATTTTTTCTTTTATAATCAATGTACAATCTCTATATTTAAGCGAACAAAAGTTACAAATGATAAGTCAGAGACAGAATTAAGATAAGATGCAAAATGTTCTATACCATTAAAAAGTAGGTTATACAGAAAGATTATATTAATATATTCTCAATTAACCCGTGAAAGTTATTCTAGATTTAGAGTCTAAAATCTAGATAAATAAAGATTTTAATAAATATTCTAATAAATATTTTATGTTCCAAAAGTCTTGTAATTCACCCTTTATTCGTTTAATTGCTTAGCTACTTTAGTTATTTTATGTTAAAATAAAGATTTTTATTTCATTTTATTTTCTATAATATTCTAAAATATTCTCTAACGATTTTTCAACTAACTTTCGATACATATATAGTCTTGATGTATCGAAAGTTAGTTGAAAAATCGCTTTACAAGAATATTCGTTAAATTCGCTCTATTTAACGCTTCAAGTCATTCTGAGTCGTTCGAGACCAAATTTGGGAAAAATGTTTTCGTAAAAAAATCTGAAACGATTTTGAAAACTCAAAAATTATTCAAATTTCAAAAGATATCTCTTGGGAATCGTGCTGATTAGTTTTCGGGAAAGATCGATCGGGTTGTTTCTTCGTGATTAATTGTTAAACTTTTTTTGACGATTTCAATGAAACGCTGTATGGAATTGACCAGGAAACATATGGAAAAGTCGTTCATTTAGATAAAAAACTAGTGGGGCGCATGACATCGTGCCTTAAGGCAAGTAGCTGGAACTTCCCGTACCAAAAAATATTTTTTTTTAAAAAATTAACTTTTTTTAAAAAAATTACTCTGAAAAAATTAGATTTTTGAGAAACTATAAATTTTTGACAAAAATTTACCTTTTTTTGAAAAAAAAAACTTTTTGAAGAAAAATTTATTTTGAAATATTTTGGAAATTCTGAACTTTTTTGCAAAGCAATCGTACTGCTTTAACTGCATAGAGATGAAATATCGAAGCGCGTAAGCGACGCGTCGCCGTCTAACGGATAAACATTGGTACGGAACCCATAGGAATGTAAACGAAATTTATACTTATTGTTAAAATCTCTATAAAATATCTGATAATTTGATGTGCATATGTCTAATGATCATTTTTGACCGCCAAATGGCATTGTTTTTTTCTTTTTTTACTAGATCTCTGAAACCGCTAGACCTGCCTTCATGAAAATTTGATCAGTCCTTCATCTTATTAATACAAGTAAAATGTTTTTTGAATTATTCAAATCGGACGCTCCGTTCCCTTAAAAACTGAGTTGCCGTTTTTGGCTCTTTTTGCCCCATATCTTCGGAACGGCTAGACCTGCCTTCGCCAAAAAACTAACCAGCACGTCTCCTTATCAATACAAATCGAATGTTTTTTGAATTATTCAAATCGCTTCATTCGTGTTCCCGAAATCGTCGACGAAAATTTGTATCCGAACACACACACATACACGCACACAGACACACACACACATACATCCATTGCATAAACTTCCAGTTATATGTAATAATAATAATAATAAATAGATAATAATTATATAACAATGTGCTTTGTAAGCATTCGCTATTTTAATGCACAAATACACACATTGTGTATGTTCTAAGAGCGTGACCCATTATTCCAAACTTTTGTGAATTTTTAAAATTAAATTACATTTCGAAAAACTAATATTTTAGGATATTCGTTAAAACAATGAATTTTATCGCTATGCAAAGCCATAAGATTAATTAAACTAATAAAAATAATTCATTATGAAAAAAAAACGCAACCGATCTTTACCAAAAACTAGTCAGAACGTTACCCAACTGATATATTTTGAAATGTTTTTAAAATTCGAAATCAACATAGAAGTTTTGGCAAATATTATTTTTCTAATTATATACAAAGTTTGTGCAGATCATCATGTAAAATTAATATGTGAGTCCTTATAAAGCGTTATCAAAAGACTTTGAAAATTTTAAATCGGTGCAGTCATTTTTGTGAAAGAGTCGACGAAAGGTCAAGTTTAGCCCACATACACAAACTATTTCCAATTGTAGTGCCATATGACTCATAATGACTTGAAAAGTCGAGAAAATTTGAAATTAGCGCATGGGATTTCATGCCAAAACAGATTCAGAAAGTTAATAATTGTTTCTAATAAGAGAAAGATTTTAAAGAACAAAAAATTATGAATAATATAATCAAGAAAACCTAAGTTGTTATATATATATATATATATATATATATATATATGTATGTATGTATAAATATATCCGTGCAAAATTTATCTGATATTTCGACATATGCATCTATGCTCTATAGATCTCCTCAGATATAACTACATTTAAAGAAAATCCTTTGAGTTATATTCTTATACATTTTAGTTACTTTATAATTATTCAAAATAGATGATTGTTCATATTACTTCAGTAAGAAAGATTGCCTGTGTTTGTGTTTGTATAAAATCTTCATTTTCCAAAAATCTACTTTTGCATGGAAAGGCATTTATGTTTGTGCTTGTGTAATTGTGCTTCATAAGAATGATTAATCACGCCTGCTCGAATTGGGCAACAGAGGTGATATTAAGTTCTAACATATGTTCATAAGGGAACGAGTGGATACACATTCTTACTTAAGGTTTTGGGATTAAAGACTTATTAGGTGATTACAAAGTCTTATGGACTTATTATAAATAGTTATTTTAAATACAATGATGTTTTTATTTCTTGTTTGCATTTTATTATTTTTTTATTAGTACTTTATATTTCATTAAATTTATACACGCATGTAGTAATATATTTGATTCGATTTTGATATTTGACAGATTGTTTATAAATTATAATTGTTTGATTATAGATGTGGTCAAACACACATCTAAGAGTGTGGTCATACATAAAAATATAAAAGCGATTCAGTAGTGAATATTTTTAGGAAGGATAGTTTAAACTTTTTTTTACCTTTGTTGTGCAACATATTGTTTTCCAAAATCTACCATCTGTCCACAATTTTTTAAGACTTTCTCTATCTTTTGTTCCAAATGATCAATATTAGTTTCCTCCTCCTCTAATCGAATTCTGCAAAACCCATTTTCAAAATATAATATTATTAACTAATTATATGGAATTCTGCAATAATACCTAAATTTTGGAGAATCCCTCAGGCATTCGTCGAAATCTATTTTAGATCTCATTTTAACACTCATACTACACTAATCTAAAATTTACAAAAATAAAAACTCTAATCTTAAAATATTAAGACATCTTTATAGAAAGTGTTTAATTGCTGATGACAATATCATCTTTCCAGACATTTTGTTTCTTTATGATAATTAGCTGTCAAACATTGACATTACTACTATCGCCATCTACCGGCCAAGTGTAAAACTAACTCTGGTGTTAAATTTAATTTTTAATCCTAATCTTAACGATAATGTAACCAGATGGTAACCAGCATAAAACTGTTTGTTTAACTACATCAGACTTATTTTATTAGATAAAATAATAAATGATTGTAGATATTTGGCGTTTTGCAAAGACCCCTAATATCCAAGGTTAATTCATTATGCTTTGTTTTTCTTAACTTTTTTATACTGATATATTTATATGAAATGTTTTCCTAATGATTACTTAGATTTCAATAAATATTTAAATAGAATACTGAATTACATAAAATGAATTTTTTATTAAACAAAAATTTAAAATATTCTTATGGGCAATACTGATCCATTTTACTCAATTCTATTTTTTCCATTTCAATAAAGCTCCATGTTATTACTATAAATCTTCAGAAAAAACTAATTTTATTTTATTTAAATGAACTAGACTGTTGCAGTTGCAGTCACAGGTTAACGTTTTAATTAACAAAGTGAATTGTCACAAAAAAATCACAAAATGGTAATAAATTATGTAAATTATTCTATATTCAATATTCTTATCTATTGGCATGGTTTCACAAAGGCGAAAATGCATTAATAAACAAATATGTAAACTATGTGTTTTACCTTGTGAGTCTCCTCATATGTGAAAATAATGACTTAATCAATAAGAATTGTATTAGCAACTTTTAAAATTGTAACAATAAAATTTTTAATTATTTATTTTAAAAATATAGTGTTTTTCTGTCAGTAAAAATTAATCAATGTGATTTCGAATTGATTACTTCCAAACAAGCTTATAATATCTGTAATTGTATTAAAATTTAAATTATTTATAACATTTTTGAATTAGTTTAAAATAATTCAGAATAACTTCAGAAAAATCGATAAAACAAAAATATAAAATGTTTTTTCGTAGCAAAATTATACTTCAAGAAAATTATGTTAATTTTTATCTGATTGAATAAAGTATAGTTGATTGAGAATTATAAGAGTAGTAATAAAGTTTATATTATGTGTACCCTTCAGTATAATTTTTTACAATAATTTACAGTTATAAAAATCATAATACAAATATAAGATATAAATCTTAATACAGTCCTCAAAACTTATAGTAAATAATTTGGAATCTTATATTTCTGATAATGATCAGAAGTACAGTACTATCATTGCTATTATAAAGGTTGTAATAAGCATTCCTCCGATTAAAATAAATTTATCTTGTTTTACTCTACGTTCTATCAGTCGTATTGTTGCATTTGATAAACCCAATGTATTTGCAATATCTATGACTCGTTTGTGAGCACCTTTCAATGTTTCTCGTTGAGAACGAAGGCTCTCCAGAATATTAGTGCCTTGAAAATTCAATAAAATTATTAGATAATATAATAAAACAAAATCAAAAGATTTAAGAATTATTCAAATGCACCTGTTAACAGCATATCATTTACATTGTTGTTAGCATTTTGAAGTGAATTAAAATGTTGTAGAGAATAATCAATTTCTATTGATGTGTCAGGATTTGCAGTAAATCTTTTGCTCAATAATTGTTCTCTTTCGGATAGTTCAGCTTGTTGTTTTTGGATTCTTTGCTGCCACATTTGTAACGCATTCTAAAGATTAGATAAACATTTGATATTGACATATGTAATTATAATTATTATTTTTGATATATGTATATATGTATATATATCTTGTGGTGGCTCTCACACCATGGACCTGCCTTTGGGCAGACTACCATTTATTATTATTATTATTATTATATATATATATATATATATATATATATATATATATATATTATATACCCGTAACCCCCGCATAACACGATACTTCTATATCACGGAATCGCTCTAACACAGTTTAAGAATTAATGAGAGTTTTAATAAAATAAAAATATAGTAAAATCGCAGTACAATAGCTCAATAAATGTGTTGAAACTAGTGCAAAAGATAATTTGATATATATTATTGGAGTGCATATGTTTCACTGAAAAAAATTCTATGATTATCCGAACAATATATTAATTAATTCTTAAGCAATTCTTTGAATAAAATGAGCATAAAAGTTTAATAAAGATTACTTTACATGCATTAAATATATAAATATCATTTTGCTAAAAGCATGTAATCCCAAATATATTTTTTTTGCAAAAAATGATGCACTAATCTGGAGGTAGTATAGAAAACTGCTCAGAGGATGAGGATATCTTGCAAAAACAGTATCATGTTGGATAGCACTTACTCGTTAATTATGACGATAAAAATCATATAATACAAGTAATGTATATAACTTCTAAAAAAAATTAAAAAATTCAACAATATTTATTATATAATCATGATATGTAGCATGTTTTTTTGAATTCTTGGAATGTAACCCCACTTTTTGTACTAGTTCTTTGTCCCTTATAACATGGATTCGCATAACATGCTAGTTTTCTGGAATGGAACTACCATGTTGTATGGGGTTTACCTGTATATATATATAATATATATATATATATATATATATATATATATATATATATTGATTGATTGATTGATTGAAATCTAAAACTGTATGTAATGTATCAGATATGTAACTGGAAAAAAATCACTTTCTTACTTGCAAATGCCTATTTTCATTCTTGAGTTGTTCACATAGTAATTTTGCATTTTGTCTTTGAGTAATAGGTACCTTGTATACTAAAATATCCAACTTTTCACAATTTCTGAAATGATGATGAAATTTTGAAAATTTTACTAATTTACTACTTTTCAATAAATTTAGAAGAGATACATACGCTTTTACTGTATGTATTTTAGATTGTATTTCACTTTCTATATTTGTAGCAAGGTTTGGTTGTTTTTCTAATTGTTGAAAATTCTGTTGTATTTCTAGAATTAATTTGTTAGTTTGATGATATAGAGATTCCATTATTAAAACTAACTTATATCGGTTGTTATTTTTTGTTAGTAATATTTATAAAACTCTGCAGAATTTTGTATTTATATAAATTAACTAAAATCCATCATAAATTAATAAAAAAATTGTTTTACTATTGCTAATATGTTAACTCTGTCAAAGATGATGCAAACTGTCAAATGCCACGTGTGTCATGTACTGTCAAATAGTTTGTTGTGATTATTTGCACAGGTCGTTTTGTGCCTTTAATTTAACATTTTATAAACCTATAATGTTTATTCAATTTATTATAATAGTTCGTATCAATGATTAAATCTACATATTTCAAAGTATAAAAGTTTCACATTAAATTCATTTTGAAAATTCAATTCAAGGTTATAATTATGACTTGATTGCAAAAGTTATTTAAGAAAAAAAACTTTTAGTTGCAGGACGTCTACTAATGAAGGCTGATAATTGCTGAATTACTAAAAATTTAATTTTCTATGATAACGTAATTAATATTATATGATAACATAATTTAAAATATGTTGTGGAAAGAAGCTGTTATATTTTTTGAAGTATTTTTAACAATAAATAATCTGAGGACCTATAAATGTAGCAAAATAACAGAACCAGAGAGCCCCCAACTAGGTAATAATCATCTATGCATAACTTACAATATGAACTATTTAATCTGTTAGTTTGATTATCAATTACTTAATAAATCTATTATCCCAGAATACCTTGTTTGTCGACAATGTGGTGCAGATACTGCCGACACATATTATATTTATGATCACTTCAGTCCAGAAGCTATGCACGTGAAAACGAATCAAAGTATTTTTGGACGAACAGATGTTGCTGTCCAACTCTTAGAAAATCCATTTGGAATGCAGTTTGAGGTTGTAACAGTCGCTAAAGCATTATGTGCAAAAACGAATAGAGATAAGGTAAATGTAATATTTTCTTATCATTGCTATTAATAACTATTATTTTATGACTTTATAAATTATATATTAGTGGCATGTAAATTATTCATGGTACCCGGGATTTTCTTGGAAACATTGCCTTTGTCCAAGATGTGGAACGCATCTTGGTTGGATGTTTGAACCTTTAGATACGGCAACATCAGACCGAAGTGTACCATCTGACCAAGGATTTTATGTTCTTATTTTAGATAAAGTTTTAAGTGAAGGATGTAAGTAATTAACTATTTATATAATATTTATGAAAACAAGTTTTCTTTTATATTCATTCTAAGCTAAATAGAAAAAGACGAATATTGTTCAAAATATATGCATAATTTGAATTTGAATACAATTAGATATATATTTATTACATTCAGTTACCAAATTCTCTATATTTATTATGTCTTTATGTTTCAGTTATTAATTCTCACATGATTCTTGGACGTACAATATTTAGTTAGTGCTTACTAATTATTCCTATACACAATGCAGTGCACTGCATGTAACGTAACTTGAACTAGTCAATTGTGTGTATTGAGCAATTTGAAATGTTTTAAAATGGAATTGTCTGTTAATTATGATAAATCTTATCTTGTACAAAATATTGTGATCTTGAGTTTTGCAATGTTGCTAAAACGTGAGTGTTGTTTTTGAGCCATCTCAAACTTGTGTAAATAAATAAAAATAAAAATACTTATATTCCACAAATAAATCATATTTAATGTTCTTATTTGTATCTTTATCACTGTTATGAATAATGTTTCCATACAAGTTCTTATATAACACATTTATTTACATTGACTCAATTACTTAACAATGTGTCGAAGTAAAAAAAATATGACTTAAAATTGAACAGTTTGGATAACAAAATGTCTTATCCATATGTCTTATGATTCAGCTATAAAAATATACAAAGACAAGTATATTTATTAAGAAGAGAATAAATATAAGCATATAATTCCTCTACCATATATAGTCTTACTAATTTTTGCAAAAAAATATTTCTGTTATCAAAATTAAAGATAACAGAAATATTTTTTCAGAATATATTCTGTTCTCTTTTCCTGTTTTAAAATCCAAATCACTTGAACATATAAATTGATTCAGTTTATAAGGTGGATTGCAATGATTGTGATTGTTGTTATATTGGAAAAAGTTCCCATTATATCCACAATAGAATGAATCAACATATTCATAATTCCATCAAACCAAATTTAAAACCATGTTCTCAGTTTTTTTCCTTTGAGCAAATTTTCAATATTTATCGTCTGACCATTCTTTATAAAGAAAAAATATTAAAATCTTTAAATACAGAATAACTTTTTACATTTCAAATATTCTTCTTTTACTTTCCAACAGCTATCAAAACTCAATAAATTCCTGCAATGGTGTACCCTGGCATAGACCAATAGGCATAATTTCTGAATAAAATATTAGTGCTTTTTTCTTCACCTGGTTGATAATCATATATGTTGATATACATTAGTTATTTAGTGTTATTATATTATTAACTTTTGGAAGGAGAAGTTTATGTTTTCATCAAAACATCCGATTTGCTATTTTTTTGTTTTCTCGACGTTTCAAGCCATTCTGAATCGAATGAGACCAAATTTGAAAAAAGTTGGAAAAAAGAAAAAAATATCAATTCTAAATGGATTTTATAACTTAAAATGTTCGAAAAATAGTTGGAAATCGACCTGTTTAAAGACTGGCATAAGTTCTTTTGTAATTAACTATTGAAAAAAAAAATCGACGATTTTTATGTTTTTTTTATTATGGTCTTTTCGATCATACTAAAATATTACGGCCATAGACCTTACACTACAACTTCAAGTGTGATTACGACCTTACGACAAGTCGTTTAATTTTAAAAATTCGTCAAAGTTTGCAACAGTTTGTGACGTTCTTTTTAGCTTTTGCCAAAATTAGATTAATTAATTTTAGTGATAAAATAATATCAAAGACTACGATCATGACATATGTAATCGTGCCAGTATTTTCTTAGAGCAGGAAATTAATTTTACACAAAATATTATAAGTTCGTTTAAAAAAAGTTTTTTTTTCCTTTTAATTTTTTAATTAATGTTATGAAGTGTTTCTTAAAATTCAATATGGCGATAAAGTTTATGCACAATAAACAATAAACAGTCCTACAAAAATTGGTTGTATCATATAAATTCATTAAAATTCAGAATACGGAGCTTCAATTTTAGTACGTATACAAAGCAAGCACATGTTGCTGTGCACTATGAAGGGTTAATATAATTATAGATATTTTTATATGTGTTTATGAGATATCAATTGGAAATCGTAATGTTTAGACTTGATCGAAAGCGAAAATTTTATTCAAAATAAACAGTTGAAAATTTCATCTTCTCAAAAGTCTCAAATTCGGTTGATTAAGTCAATTTGTTTCACATTTCGTAAAGTTTAACCTTTGTCTATTATTTTAGCTAAATGATGATAAACATTTTGTTCCCAAAACCGTGCAATTTTAAATAAATTTATATTTTATTTCGACGCATTGGCTGCTAAATATTTAAATAAATATGTTTCAACGTGGAACAAAAAAACCTCAAAATACATTTATTTATAATTACTAATAAATTTTTATTATCTAATATCACATTAATTTGCTTCAATAATTTGCTTTATTATAGTATATTTTTTATATTTAAATATTATATAAATGACTTATATCAAAGCGTATATTGCTTTGCACAGTAAATGTCAAATGCAAAACTTGTTATCTATAGCTGAAATTCCATTATTTATTTAATCTTGAAAGCAGCGGTCGGACATCCACCTTTAGCATTAATTTCATTAATAACATTCTGAATGGTTTTTGCAATTTGTTTCTCAACGACAATTCGGATCACATCTCTGAAAATAGTTGTAGTCACTCTGGACAGGGCATTTACCAGCCAATCAGTCAAAATATTGCCTCTTAAGTGCACTCGAATTTTTCTAAAAGTACAATAAAAATTATATAACATTTCTTCGTAGCTATATGATTAAATATCTTACTTGAGTTGTGGTACTTCAAAATGTTGAAGATATATTGTAAAATCGTGTAGATCAGCAATCACATCTAAGAAAATTTCAGTTCCTCTAATCTTTGCCACTACATTGCCTTTAGGACCAATATTCATAATTTTTGCTAAATATTTGTAATCCAGCTATAAAAATATGAAATTTATCAAATGTTAATGGTTGTTGAAAAGTAAATGAAGTAATTTTTATAGAAATGTTGAAGATATATTGTAAAATCGTGTAGATCAGCAAACACATCTAAGAAAATTTCAGTTTCTCTAATCTTTGCCACTACATTGCCTTCAGGACCAATATTCATAATTTTTGCTAAATATTTGTAATCCAGCTATAAAAATATGAAATCCTCTCATTTTGAAACGGCGAATGATTAAAAGGCTCGAGAGATTCTGATTGCGCGTCCGCGCACTCTTTGAACAATCATAAATCTGCCAATTTTTGTGTGAAAGAAAAATAATAAAAAACAATAATAAGCCAGAAAGATTTCTTTGATTTTTATCTATATGCTTTTATACGTAACTTTTATTCTGTTTGAGATATAATGAAAATAAGTTAGGTTTTTAAAAAAAATCGGAAAAAAACTTGTTTATAAAATCGTGAGTTTTCTGAAAATAGTTTGTACTAAAGTAGTGAATCTGCTAGAATCTATCAAGATGTTTATAATAAAGTGAATTCCAGATGGAATGTGAATTACTTTAATTCTGGTGGAAATGGCGCTCATTACACCATATGATTTAAAAGAAAAAAACATCGTATATGCTTCTTATTTGTATGATAGTTCACTCATTGTACAGGCAAAATGCTTGTAACAGCACTCATTTTATAGCTTATGTTGAGCACTATAGAACCCAATTCTACCAAAATGCATAAAATGTAAACCCTCGCCACTAGATGGCTTTAAATACAACAATTAAATCTTGAACGAAATAAAAAACGACTTTGCTCTTTCAAATCTTGCTTAATATTATTCCAAGAACACTTTATGAAACACCGATTTATTAAGATTTCATTGACATTATTTTGTTCATTACATGATTTTCGTTAAAATGTACATTTTAGGAGATATTTGCAAAAAAACGAAGAAAAACACCAAAAATATATGAATTTGTAGTGGCCAGTAACTTGAAAAGTATTAGTTTTTTTTGAAAAATTATAAAAGACGTTTTTTTTCTTAAAATTAGATCTTCTTCTGATTTCGATTTCCGTTATTTTGAAAAAAATGTATTTACACAATTGAGAAGAGGTGTCCCCCGGGGGGTGGTGGCGAAACCCGAATTGTTTTCACTTTTGAACTTGAGGGTAATATGAACCTAATTCCAAAATTTCATGCAATTCGGAGCATAGTAAAAAAATTCAGACCTTAAAGTTCAGGGTCTAAACGCTCCGTTTACTGCAATAGTATTAAGCCGAATATATTAACAGCTACCGAAAAGGCTAAGTAGCAAGCCTAATCAAAAGAATTATTTTAATCTGTTAATTTTCTTGATATTGCCGAGATTAACATAAAATAAGTTTATATGCATACTTACACTTGGGTTTAAAAACGCAAATGTTAAGAAAGTGGGTGTATTTGGTGAACGTATTTGGTGAAAATACGTTAATATAATTGCACACAAGAATGATATAAGGTTTCAAGCGCTTTAATTTTACGAGCTTGAAACCGGAAAATGAATTTTACCTTCAAAGAATCAAACTTAAGTCCCAAGGATAATCTGAGTAATTTATTGTTATAGTGCAAGGTCGCATTTCCTGCGCGGCTAACAGTCGACAAATCGCTCAATGTGCCATTTGTTAACTCCAATTCTCCATGATACGTGATCAAAGCTGGTTTCTGCAATTCATAGACAATGTTGTTAAACTTGATTACAAAAACATACAAAAACAATTTGTAACATATATTTTATTTTTGGAAGTCTAAAACAAAACATTCATACCATGTATTTTATGCAGTAAACATAATTACGATGGCAAGAATGATCTTTCATTATTTTGTTCAAGATTTAATCGAATCTAAATATATCAATCAAAGCAAATGAAAGCTGTTAATCCGTTTTATCAAAATTGGAGCATCGATAACAAAAAATATTTTTGATTTGAGCTTAAAATGTATTTTTCCATTTATTAATATTTCAAATCAAAGTTTGAAATCATTTATTATATTAAACTAGTAGATAGGTTCTCCAGAGCTGTACTTTTATATGATTATTTGATATATTGCATCAGTAGGATTAAAGTCATAGGCTGAGATTTAAACATATATTGATTAAAAAAAACAGATTCGTATCGATAATAAAAATTAACATTAGACCTTGATTCTGAATAATATGAAGAAGATGAACCAGACGTTTTTTACACATGCTTCATACAAATGATAAAACAATTATCGGGTTTAAATTAGGCGTATCATAAATATTACTTCCTAACTTATTATGAATGTATAAGGAATGATGAATGTATTCAGAAAAAAAAACAACCAATATTTGCCTATTTTCTAAAACTAAAAATGTATAAGGAATATATTTACCGCACTAAATCCTTCTTTAATATCAGGCATTGCCATTGGGTCCAAATTTTTATCAGAAAAGAAAAATCCAATGTCATCCATAATGGTATCTAAGATATCATTTATATTTGCTGCAATAGGTTCACTTCTTGATTCTGATTTGGCTAGCTCACTTTGGAATTATAAAGCAAAAATAAAAAATGATGATTACAAACTTTGCATAGCACAGATAGTAAAATACTGGCTATATATTTCAGAAATGGTTGGCAATATAGGAGTTAAGGGCAGAATTTCTAAGATAATTATTTAATTTAATGCTGCCTAAATAAAAATCATAGTAACAATATTAATTTTAATATTATTACTATAATTCCAGAAAATTATTAATTCAAGTAAATCAAATTATAAAGCAAAAATTAAGAGAATTTTATTTTAAACAATCTTTGATTTATTGGTTATTTGTTTCATAATATGAAACTCGCTTGCCATTTTTCAAAAACTCAATAACTTTTTATCTACTAATTAATTATGTAGTAATATTACATATTATATTATTATTAGTAGTAATACTACTAATTAATTATGTAGTAATTGCCTACTTTTTTCAAGTTTAACTATTTCCGCACAAAATAGTAAATAAACAAACAGAACAAAATAGTGAATAAACAAATTGATATACACCTATATATATTAAAATATGAGATTTTTTAGAAAGAATTATTATTTATGATTTTGAATTTTTAAACCAATAATATTCCTTATTCCTCAAAAATATATTTATATAATTCTTCATGTATCTCATTTTCGTTTCGAGGATATGGAATATTGTTAGGAACTTTGAAACTAAAAATTTTCTAAATTATACATCAACTAAAATCAAATTGTATCGTCACTAAAAATTATATTTGAAAAATGCTGAACTATAGATGTTTATCACCGCTTGAGAGTACTTGAAAGCAATTATCATTTGAGAAGCTACAAGAATTAAGATAATAGAAGGTAATACCATCTTATATACCAGTAATCTTAACTACAGCAATTAAAGAAATTAATAAAACAATAATTGTAATATGATTATCTAAAATTTAAAAAATAAAATAAATTATTAATTGGTATTTCTAGGTACTTATTTTGGTAAACAATTATAAGGTAAAGAATAGTCAATCCGGTACATTTAAGAAAAATATTCTGAAGAAGGGGTAATCCTCGAAAGTTTAGTTTCAAAGTCTCTAAGGAAAGGGATATATTTCCGAAAAGCAGAGTGAAATAATAAAATATATATACCAAATAGTAAATCAATTATAATAATTTAATAATTATGTTAGAATAAACTCACTTTGGAATGAATTTCCATAGATCATTATCAAAAGCTTCCATATAAGAATCACATTTCGTAACCGCTAATGCGGTTAGAAAGCACAATAACACTTTCATATTGCAAATTAAACGAATGAAATTTTCTGCTCAAGTTAAATTTGTCTCAAATCAAAAATCACAGTTCTGATAAATCGTTCGTGTTCCGGCTTTATATAGCACATAGATCCACTTGAAATCACGAAAAATCAATCGACGACAAAGGGGTATTAAGAACCTTCTCACGGTTGGTTGATAACGATTTTCGTAATAATGAATATAAACAAAACATTGATTAGTAGCTCACGACCTTATCTGCATGCATATCTTTAAGATAGGCGAGACTTGACACCGGCCACTTGTCATTTGATACATTTTTTGTCATTTGATACATACTCGTAGATTATTGCACAACGATGATCTGCGAACAACGGATGACAATTCGCATGGGAAACGAATTGTAAACATGTTGAAGTATAATCATTTCAAAATTTCCACTGTTTCCTCTTCAAAATCTATATTTCCATAACGCGCAATCACTTGTAACTGAAAAAATATTAATAAATAATTTTGTGGTCAAAATATCTTCACTGAATCCTATTGGAGGCCATCTCAGCACTCTGATCTGCCTTTGGGCAAAAAATATTCGATTTGCATTTCATGATAAAGCAACATCATGGCTAAATGGAAATGCGGCTACTAATCATAATTCTTTAGCATGAAAATGATTTTATCAAGAGATTCGCTCCGATCGAAGTAAATTATGAACAAAACCATGCAAATCATCGCCAATAATTCGAAAACGCATATGAAACAAATTGTCAACAAGTTGAAGTACGTATAATCATTTCATGTTTATCATTTTATTTTCATCTATTATTTTTCCGTCACTCCAAATCACTTATAACTAAAAAAATAAAATATGTGATTTTTTTATTTATATGAATTGAAATAGTTGAAATATGATTTACAACAGTATTTTTTTTTGGAATAAATCAATATTTATTAATCAGAATTACTGACATTGAGTAGGTACACAACTTTAGATAATTCTTTTTTGTTCTTTTCAAAGTCTTTCGGCTTTTTAATCTTGTATAATATTCTGTACAATTTGATTCTGTATTAACTTTAGTGAAAAGTATCGCTTTTAGTGTAGACACACTTTCAAATCGAATCTTGTCACATGTTTATGCATTTGTGTTGGACTGTTGGGCGATTAGGAATATTGTTTTTCAAGTTTTTTTTTAAACTCATATTCGATTTTTTCGTTTTCGCCAACTTTCTTTTCGGCAAATTAAAGTCTCATATAGAGTAGAGCACCAAAATAGTTTCAAAAGCAAAACATTGTTATTTTCTAACGATACTATTATAATGCAGAAGGCAATTAATCTGCAACCAGAAATCTTTTTAAATTGGGCGACGTCACAATCAAGAAGTAAAAGGCCACATTATCAAATTTGACAGTTATTCGTTTGACATGTGTTATTTATTTTGATATAGCTGGTTTGGTTTTCACAGTAATTGCTAAAGGTCAAATGAGACCTTTGTGCCCCGCATTACTCTGAACCTACTCATCGTATATTTTCAAATATTTGATGGGTTATTGTAATCGCAAAAATACTTAATTTTGAAAAAATCGAAAAAATTTGAGACAAAAAATCCGGGATAAGTAATGCTTATAGAAAAAACAGGAACCCAATGTGGATATGCTCGCCCTTAGGTAAGCGGTTAAGAGCGACGGGACTTGTTTCAGAGGTCCCGGGTTCAATACACACTTCCAGCAGCCTGTTGTTAGGCAGCAGTGACAACGGTTTTCACTTGGAAATATAGATAGCAATTTGTTTCCAAGTGAAAATAGCCCTTGCCCGGCATTGCTGCACCAATAAAAAGTCAGCCCTATTAGAATAATTCTAATAACAAAATTATCAAATATAGATGGATTAACCATTGGGTTACCATCTAAAAAATACGAAGTAAGGAGAAGTTTTAGCCCAACAGCTCATAAAACGTAAGGTTCTGATTGCTGTTCAAAAATTAAAAAAAATGTGGATATTTGGGACTGTCCCGGCCAATTTATGAGGTATGGTCACCTTACTAGTAGAGTTTTCCTGAATCTTATTGAAGGTCATCGCAACTTAATTCTGCTTGTGAGCAAATAATATATGATTTGTTATTTCTAGAATACCATGTTGAAGCAATTACGATGTAGGAAAGTGAAAATTTATAGAAAATACACTATTCTCTATCATAAATAAGACCTTTATTTCATTGATGTTAACACTGCTCACCATCCGTTATGTGAAGCAGATTCTTGCAACATTTTCATAACTAGTCTTCTAATATGATAAATTAATCCTATGTTTTTCAAAATTTATATTCTAAGCCACACTACAAATTCATTTCTATTTAATTTGTTCTGAAATTATATTCTTGGTACACAAGTTTGTTGTTAATAATCTGCATTGATGTTTTTTGAACGTGAAACTATGCAATGCATTACCGTCACTTTTATTAACAACCCTTATATTTTTTATTCGATTCAGATTTGGATCAAAAACTTAATAATTTGGAGTATTCGGTTTATTCTGATAATCAAATAAAACCTGATTCTGAACATAGTCTTTGACTGGATTGATTTGATTTAAATTATCGCACCACTGCTTTATATATACGAATAGAGGAGACTAGGTGCGGTTGTGCCACTTTTTTCGATCAATTATAATTTTATTAATTTACCAGTCAGCTGAGAGAAAAGTAAATTAAATGGCAATTTAAACATTTGCCTACGTGGAAAAATTGAAATTCTGTCTTGAAATTCTGTCTTTAAGTTATAAATTCAAATCATACAAGAAAATAGGCTGTGGCACAACTGTAACATCCGAGCGATTTGGGTTAGTATCAGTAGTGATATGCCTAAAAATATGTTAAAACCATTGTTATAAACACCAAAATGGTTTATAACGACTTATATTATAAACAACAAAATCATTTATAACAATTTATATGGTATTTTCCTTTGCCTTTCTCTTCTGTTTTTTGTCTTAGTTATATTATTTTTTATTATCTGTTCAATCTTTACCCGAAAAGGACAAGAAATACAAGTCACAATCATGCCCCTAAATTTGTCACTTACCATACCCAATGTATAATTTTGAAAACAAATCATCATTATGAGTGAGCTAAACTATCTAAGTAAAAACTAATTGCTGGTAAATAACTACTAATGTTCAACTTACAGCAAAATAACAAAAAAAGTAATCTATCTGCATACAACAGTTGAAGAATTCGAACATGAAAACTTACTTTCGAATCTTTAACAGCAACCCCTACTGCATTAATAATCAAATCTTCAAATAAATACATAAGCAAGTTGTTATTCGGATTAAAAATTCGATAAAATAAAAATGTTATGATAATATACCGGATAATATAACGGATATATTCGTATTTGTTGATGGTAAAGTTATGTATTTGCTGTATGATCAGGCGTTTTACACATAAAACCTAATTACAGATACAGAATGCACATACGTCAAATAACAATTTTATCATAAAGTCCTGCTCTCTGATGTTTTTTTGATATAATATGTAACTTAAAATTAATTACTTTATATTTAATGATTATATTTGAATTGAATTGGCACATTTAGAGTTTCAAGATTTTGATAATATTATTACCCCGCTTTTCATTCAGTAATTTTTAATTACGAAGCAAAATCCGATAATTTATTTTTAAAATATATTATTATGTGACATGTTCAATGAATTGACTAAGATTGAAAAAAATGAGGTAGTCAAATAGATATGTATGGTACTTTTAGTTGCCTATCAGTATCTTCAGATTTTAATATTCAATCTCTCTACTTTTTGCAAAAGTTGCTCTTTATGCAAACCATTTATCAACTATGTACTGTTGATGCGCATCTGAAAATATTTGTACAATGGGAAAATAGGAGGGACAACCCTTGATAAAAATACTTTTTTTTTAAGTGAAATTTATGCTTTATCATAAAATATGAATTAAATTTGGTGGTGAAAAATAATTCGATTACTGAAATGACAATTTTGAAATAGAGATTTGTGGAAGGAAAGTAAAAAATTAAAGCTATATGTATTTTTCAATTCCGCACTAAAAGATCAAAATAAAAAAAATTACATCAAAAGTTAAAAAAAGTGTTTTGTTGGACAACCTTATTAAAAATTAATCGTTTTTTAAAGTAACATTAAAATAAGGTTACTTGATATCAAAACATAAAAACATGTTAAGGGTAGACAATTCTTGATAAAATGAAAGAGTATGTTAAAGTAAAAAGAGTTGTATGTATTTTGTAGATTCCGCATTAAAATTAAAATAAGAAAGTTGACCCCAAAATTTGAAAAAAATATTGAAGTTGGACAACCCTTAATTATATTAAATTATATTTTAAAATAAAATTTAAGCTTTTTCTTCAAGCTCAGAAATCTGAACTATTAAAATTATGACCAAAATATTCAACGATTGAACGCAGGATAAAAAATGATTGATATGCTAAAATGGCTATGAAAAAATAAAGGTTGGTGATCAAAATAGTAAAAAATCTGGGTTGTATGTATTTTGCCGCATTATAAAAAAAATAAAAACAAAAAGTTTTGTCCAGAACTTACAAAAAAAATTAAGAGTGAACAACCCTTATCACTTAGGGATATGAAACATAGATAGTTACCGATTCTCAGACCTACTGCATACGCATATAAAATTTGGTAAGAATCGGTAAAACCGTTTCGGAGGAGTACGGGAACAAACTTTGTGACACAAGAATTTTATATATAAGATATTGTTTCATTATAACAACTGTTATCGCTTAAACAATTACACCTTTTATGAGCGTACATATCAGATGAACATTAAATTCGATTTCTATTGACAATTTGAAGAATTGTTCTATTAATCACAGATCTAGCCGTTCACTAACGCACTAAAAAGAACTACAAAAAACTGATATTTAGTAGTCAAAAATATCATTGAATTATTCACATCAAATTACCAAATATCGTTTTAGTAGAGATTCTAACAATATAATAATTTTCGTAATGTGAAAATATCGAATAACTTACGTGTAATATCTAAATAATATTGCTAACTTTTTTAAATT